TAAACTTTGGTTGATACCATCCAATATACAAAAACTCTAATTCTAAGTCATACTCTTAGTTTTAACATCATTCAAAACATGACTAAGTTGAAGAACGCACTCACACTTATTCTAATACACAAGCCCTCAACAGATCCTCCAACCATTGGATGGTTCTCTCCTTCTTACTATTTTTCTGCCGACGATAAACAGAACTTAACTTTAGCTTAGTACTCTAGGCTTGTAACAAACATTGCCAAAGCCTCGACTTAAATCTCAGATCCCTGTGCGAAACAACACTCGAAGGAATACCATATAGGCTAACAACCCTCTGAATGTACAACTCAGTCAACTTCTACAAAAGATAATTGATTTTAATCAGAATGAAATGAACCGATTTGGCCAGTCTATCAACAATAAAACAAATGGAATCACATCCCTTAGTCGTCTTCAGCAAACTAGTCACAAAATCCATAAAAATATTGTCCCACTTCCATTCAGGAATGCTCAATGGTTGCATCAGACCAACAACTTTTGATGTTCAGTCTTCAACTTCTAACAAGTCAAACAAGTATAAAAAATTCAAATATTTCCTTCTTCATTCCTGGTCACCAAAATATTTTCTTTAGGTCTTGATACATCTTAGTGGCACCGGGATGAATACTCAGACCACTTATATGATCTTCCTCAAGAATACTCTTCTTAAGCTCAACAACATATGGTACACAAACCCTGTCTCTGAACCCTACACACCATTCTCATTGATTTTGAAGTCACCTCTTTTACCTTGATTGATAACACAATTTAGTCAACCAATCCCAAATCAACTTTATGACCTTCTATAGTCTTTTCAAGTATGTCCAACTTCACACTATTAAGAGTCTCTTCACATACAAAACTCGTGTCTCTGAATTGCTTAATCAATTAGAATTCCCGAGCCATAAACATGGGCATATCTAACGACTTTCTGCTCAACGTATCAGCTACAACATTTTATTTACTCGAATGGTAACTCAAGCCAAAATCATAACCCTTAATAAATTTTAGTCATCTCCTCTGCCTTATATTCAACTCTTTTTGATCAAACAAGTAATTCAGACTCTTGTGATCACTAAACACTTTAAATCTAGAGTCAAACAAATAATGTTTCTAAATTTTCAATACGAACACCACGACTGCCAACTCTAGATCATGTGTAGGATAATCCCTCTCATGAACATTTAACTATCTAGAAGCATAAGCCACAACCTGAATATTTTACATCAACATACCTCTTAGACCCATCTTTTAAGCATCATAATACACAACAGAAAATTCACTTAGACTCAGCAAAATCAAAACTAGAGCAAATGTCAACTTCCTCTTGAGTATTGGCGGTGTTGTTGTTGTTTGAAAATTATAAAAAATTGAGATTTTGTATATTTGATTCGAATCAAGCACATATCCTGACTCAAATCAAACTAAATAGAGGCAAACCAAACTTTTTCAAATACCTTAATTTGAATTAACATTTACACTTGATTCAAATCATGTCTTTTCTAGGTCGCCTCTGGATGATTTGATTTGAATCAGACATTACACTTAATTCGAATAAAAAAAATTTCTCACATTTTCCAGTTGGTTGTGCTTAAATTGATTTGAATCATAATTAACACTTGATTGAAATTATGTGGTCTTTGATTCGAATCAGACTTTGTTCTTAACTCGAATCGACTGTAAAATGGGTCAAAACTCTATTTACATCTTATTCCACTTCAATTTCTCTTTTGATTCAAATCATTAATTGCTCTTGATTTGAATCAAACTAACTTTTTCAACCATTTTTAGTGTTTAATCTCAAACATATAAAATTATTTTGTCATCTTTTTCATGTAAGATTTTCATAATCAATGTTGTGATTTTCTATGAAACCAATACCCTCTATTGTTGAAAGTTCAAGGTTCTTGCAACGAAAGTCTTACATCTTCAACTTCGATTTGATTTCAGATCTTGATAACGAGAGATTGATTATTGATTGAAGGAAAAGTTGTCTTGAAACTAATCGTTCTTGAATATTTGGTTGAGATTTTCAGGTAGCTTGCAAGATTGAGATTGTTGTCATTGGTGCTGACAAATTCCAGTGAAAAGAATGAGGTTTCTCTTCCCAGTTTGCCTTTGTAGTGATTGTGTGGAAGACTACGGATAAGATGGAGTTCTTCTCAAATCTTCAGACAATTTATTGCTTAAGCTATCGGTAGGATCAATGAGTGATTGCTACACACGAAGGCTTGGAGCAGAATGGTGATATTGTAATATTCAATAAGCGTTAATCGAGTAAAGATTACGTAGAAGGGTTTGGTATTACATTGTATACAAGTCAAGATCCTGATATGAGATTTTATTTTGTCTCAACATTATTATGGATGGGTGATTATATGAACTCTTGCAAATATTTGTCAAATAAAAAGGAACAATGTACTTTCCAATGAGAAACTATTGAAGAATGCGTGTAGGTAAAGTGAGGACGAACGTTGAAGCAATATAAATCATGGTGTCATCTCTCTCCATTACTCTTACATTTAATTTTTGTAAAATTTGCATGCTTAGATATTTCAATTCTAACGTAGTTTATTGTTTATTCAATTGGTAGTGGTTTATTACGTAAGGTTGTATTTTTTAGAATTGATGTCTAATTTAGCTAAATTTGTGATTAAGAAACAATTGAGGTTAGAATTCATTGAAATTGAATCATTGTATAATTATATCTCGTGAAATATACAATTGAATCGATTAAATACCTTATGTATCATCAATAAAATCATCGTTTGATATTTGATAATTGATTGAGTGTTAACCTAATGAAGTTTTAATAAAATTATAATTCTCATAAATTCACTTCAAAACTTACGCAGCATATTTTGAAGAAATCTCTAATACTCTTTTTGGAAAAAGATTGATTTTTTTTTCTAAAGATCTACTCGTCTCCTATAAACTGTTTTTCTACTTTCTTATTCACACCCAACAGCATAGAAGTGTCAGATTTTATATCTACAGTGTCAGATGAAATTTAATATACAAGGGGTCAAGTAAAATTGTTGTGTTTTGTTTGTGACTACTTTTGGATTGGTTTTGTTTTCATGTTTGGCATATCTTGGCTAGGATGACATATTCCCTAATTTAATTAATTTTGCTTCTTAAAAAAATAAATGTCACTTAACACTTGTTCTCTTAACTTTAGTTTCATTCCATTGAATGTTTTACTTTGGGTTTTGGGTACTGTAGTGAGTGGTGCCTATGGAGATGGAGTTCCTGTATTACTTATATCCAAGGTTTCCTTCCAATGCCCAACTGCTAAGGATGCTTTAGATTTTTCACAAAACACTTTTCTTGAGTTACACTCAAGAATCGACCGTATGACATCTGTGACAACTTGAAAGGTTTACCCTATTTACCCAAGATTATGAAAGTGTTAACTTCAGCTCGTCCATCCTTTTCACTACTGAAAATTGCAAACAATCTTTGACACATGTCCATGATGATAGTTGACGTAAAAGTCTCAAATAGGCATAATGTGGCACTTGAAACCCACTTATCACAGAAATATAGCAACTCTTTGAAGAAAAATATAAATTAGGTAAGTTGAGATTCAATTTCTAGATAACTAGATAAGGGGGATATAGGGATCAAAAAGTTGAACATTTTTAAACTTCTTTGGTTTGAAAATGGCTTTGGCGTTTAAAATCAAATACTAGTGGTTTGTAGCGTAAAGTTTTAGAAATTAAATATGGAGACTTATGAACTAAACTACCTCAGATTCTGTTTGATGAAAAGATGTAAAATTATTGGATAATGGCAGTTGCGGATTGAGGGAGAATACGAAATTTGGAAGAATTTCAACATGGTAGACTAGTTTAGAACAGAATCATCCTTAAAAACGTTTTTATTTTTGTTTGGAGGCTTTTGTAAAACGAACTCCCAACTAAAAAGAGCTTCCTAGTGTGTGTTTGGGTGTAACAATGTAGAAACAACAAATATCCTTTTTGCAACTGCATTCCACATAAATTCACTTTAACTTCACATTTTGTAATTTTAGATTTTCCGGCAGCTAAGAATTACACTTTTTTTTGTTGTCAATTTTACATGTCTTCTCGGTCGGGGTTCATCTTAAGTAAAACTCCTTTATTGCTTTTGGTCAGCAACATCTTAAAAGATTTGGGTCTTATTGCTCACGAATATCGTAAGCAAAGCTCCTTTATTGATCACTCATGGTTTATCTTACGCACAGCTCCTTCTTTGAATTTTGTCAGCAACATGCTAAGAGATCTGGGTCTTCTCCTTTTTACATTAGATCAGAACATCTTAAAAGATTTCAAGGCAAGAAACAACAAAACCCTCATTAACCTTGATTTGCAAATGGATTTTTTAATTGAGTTGATCAACCGGATTTCTCAATTGAGGATCACAACTTTGTTGTTACCTCCTGTTTAGGGTGCTGTTGTGAATGGTGTCTATGGAGTTCCAATATAGTTGAAATGTCAGTCATTCAGAAAAGATAGGGTGTTTGAATTAGAAGACTAGTGATGGCAGGTACATGATTGCTGCACAACTTTGTTGTGAAATTTACTTAAACCATGCAAATATCACAGCACTATAGTAATTCTTAACCAAGAAAACAAATATACTTCTAATTTATTTCTAATTTATGTAAGCATAAGATTAAGAAACACGATTGAAAGGAGAAAGAAAAAACATAAAGAAGACAGAATTGTCATGACATTTTATCAAAGAAATATGGGTGTGCTGCTTTTCACTGAATTATTGAGCCACCGAAGTTATAATGTGCAACGGCAAAATGCAGATGAAGAAAATTTTGGTATTTAAAACTCAATATCCAAAAAACAATCTTGAAAAACAAAAATGACAAAAACTATAAATAGTCACTAAATACTTGAAAGGAACAACATTAGCAACAAAAAGATATAATTACTAGTTCCTAGGCTTGAAACAAACAAAGATCATCCTGCAACACCAAAACTGAAACTTCAAGCCTCTACTCTTTCTTCCTCAAGAATCAGGGTCTTTCCAGTAGGCTTGGCCAACAAATCAGTGTACTCTTGGAAAGGAGATTTGGCGAACCTAGTCTCCTTCCAGAACTCAGGTGTCAAAAAACCATAGGTCTTCAACAAACAATCAAAAGTCGCCTGAAAAACAAAACAAAAACATCATATCAAACTCATACAGATCACAAAAAAGTAACAAATTGCAGCTAGACACAAGTACAAATACACAGCAAAATTTGGATCAATTCAAATTATATCACCATCAAATTATATCCCCATCAAGTATAATATGAATCAAATTTCCCAAAATCAAATAGGGAAGGTTTCGACAAAATCATTGGGCTACAGTGAACGTATCAGATAAACAAGATTAGTAAAATCAAACATGCATAGAGTATAAAAACACCATCTTTCAGTTACAATTCAACATAAAATGGCATAATCCAATGAGCATTTCAATTAACCAATAGCAATAAGCTTATATAAAGCTAGTTAAATCTAAATTGAGGTCCAATATAACATAGTATAAGAGATTACAACCTAACAATTATTAAACTCTAAATTATTAAAATAAAAATTATAATTTAAAAGGATAACCAAACCTTGACGAAATTTCCTAGGGTTTTGGTGGATCCCCTAGATGAGGTGAAAACATCATCAATACCAGCGAATTGCAAAACCTTCTTCGGAACCCTAGCAGCCACAATTCCAGAACCACGAGGAGCCGGAACCATACGAACAGTAACCGACCCACACTTTCCGGTAACCTTACAAGGAACAGTATGCGGCTTTCCGATCTTGTTACCCCAATAGCCTCTTCTAACAGGAATAACAGAAAGCTTAGCCAAGATAATCGCACCGCGAATCGCAGTAGCAACTTCCTTGCTGCACTTAACACCGAGACCAACGTGACCGTTACTGTCACCGACGACAACAAAGGCCTTGAACCGGGTTCTCTGACCGGCTCGGGTTTGTTTCTGAACCGGCATAATTTTCATCACTTCGTCCTTGAGGGTTGGACCGACGAGTGTGTCGATGATTTGGTGCTCCTTGATTGGGAGAGAGTGGAGGTAGATCTCTTCGACGGTGCGGATCTTTCCTTCCTTGACGAGACGACCTAGCTTGGTCACTGGAACCCATTTTTCTTCTTCTTCACGTCTTCCGCCGGCTCTTCTACGACCACCACGGCCTCTGTCGCCACGACCGCCACGTCCTCCTCTTCCGCCGAATCCGCTGCCGAAGCCACCACGGTCTCCACCACCACGTTCTGCCATGTTGCTGGTGTTTGGTTTGTGAAGGGATACCGCAACGAAAGAGTTGTGTTGTGCTGCTTCAGAGAAACTGTGTTAAAATTAGGGTTTCTGATTCTGAAAATATATAGTAGTGTTTTCATTTCGGGCTTTGAGTTTGGGTGGGCTTGTTCAAATAAGCCCATAAATCAACCCAATTGAATCGGGTCAATTACATTGCACTAATTTGGGCTTGGCCTTTTTAAAACTCTTGTTTATTACTACACCTTTTCATTTACCACTTTCTTTATTAAGAAAAATTCTTAGATAAGAAGTACTCCCCCCCTGTTTTAAAATAACTATTATAGTTGATTATTTTACACACATTAAAAAAATATAATAAATAAAAGAGAGTACTAAACTATCCTTATTTGTAATCGATATATTCGAATTATCATAAATATAAAATGAGAAAATAATAAATTGATTTTATTAATTAAACAAAAAATATTAATTAAAAAATATAATTAGAAGATAAATATTAGAATTGCATTAGAAATTAGAAATTGAATGCAACTATTTTAGAACAAATAATTTTATAAAACATACTAATAATACGTAAGTTTTTACAACCGGTCAATCACATTTTTTTATTAATTAAAAAATAATAATAAAATTTGTAACATTTTTCTCTATTCTTTACCTCGTAGTATCTATTAAAAACAAATTAAATTTTAAATAAGTTTAAAATTCAAATTTAAAAACAAAAATATGAATAAAGGTGTATTTCTATGTGAGAATTTTTTCTTCACTAAATTATGAGTATTGTTTTACCATATAAAACTAATGCATCAATTTATTTAATTCAAATATCTAAGATTACTTTAATATTTTGGATTCAAAACTTGCATCTAAAATTTATTTATTTATTTTTAAAGGTTGGGTTTGCCTTTTTCATCCTAAGTATTACTCTCACACTCTATTGAAAATAAAAATTACCTTAGAAATATAGAAATATATTTTCGGGTTCATCTTATTCACACACAATTTATGAATGAGTGAGTCATACCCTATTTTTATGTCAAAAATTAATATGAAAATGGATCTCCGATAACTTACGAAAATGTACCTCCAAAAGAGTCTTAATCAAAAAAGCGCAATACCCTCCCTTTTTTCATTTTCAAATACTCTCAAACTTTCTCGAACTCTCATACTCTCTCAACTCACTTTGAAGTTTTTACTTTCAACCTCCAATCAATTAAATGTTCAACATCAAACTCACATTTGGTGAGTTTTTTATTTCTCTATACATTTGATTTCTTTGTACATGAAATTGTAGAAATTGAACATTAAGTTATGTGTTTGATATGAAGTTTATATGAGCATTGCATTTTGAGAATGTTGGATTTCCATGCATTTCTGCCATTTTCATTTTTTATGAGTAGCAGGTTAATACAGAAATGCACTTTCGTATTTGTTCAAAATTTGATTTTTCAAAAATACGGAAGTACATTTTCGTATTTTATCTGTCTGCATTATTTGACTTGATTTTCATTAAGTTTCATTTAGGTTTTATTTGTTTCTACTATGTATTGATTGTGTGGTTTAACTATACAAAACATGGCTAATAACCAAAATCAAATAAGGCTCGACACAATTTCACATCATGCATCAGTTCGTAGGAAAAGAGTATGACCCTCGCAACCACAGTCGATTCTAGTTTATTTGATGCAGAGGCCTCAACTTCAAAGGAATCATCAGCTTCGTCTTCCCAAAAGATGCATGTGTCACCTCCTGATGCCCTAAAAGCCCCATATGTCTATATTAAGGCACATGATGTCGATGCTGACATTTCTGAGGAGTTTGGAGGAGGTCCATATGACTTGTCATTATTGCCTCTATATGTGGACCATGTCGTCAGGCATGTGTGGGACGGAGAGGTACAATTTATTTGTATTTATTCTTTGAAACAAATGTGTTATGATATTTGAACTTTTTGACGATAATTATTTTTTCGCAGTACTATGATGCTTTAAAATACATCAACCATAATCGAGAGATTGTGAGGCTGCAACTGCCATATGAGTAGTGGTTTCACGATGCGATGCGGCTATATAGGCTAATAGATCTATGCATGACTGATTATTTTACTCTTAACCATGATATGTTGTCAGCGTTCATTGAGAGATGAGACCCTAAGACATCATCTTTTCATCTTCCACATGGTGAGATATCCATCACACTGGACGTTGTGTCATGTTTGTTTCATCTTTCGATTAAGGGAATATTATTGAACCACTCTAGGATTACCAGAGCTGACGCATTGGATACGATGGTGGAGTATTTGAGAGTTGAGCCAAATGATGACCTAGAGGAAATTGAAGATGCCCAAGGGTGTCATGTTGGACTTAGATTCTTAGAGAGGTTATATGTACACTAACTGACTAAGACACAACATGTTGATGTTGATGATGAGCAAGTTATATATCATATAGCATATGCATTGAAGACATGCTTGTTGTACTTGGTTGACACATCCATATTTGTGGACGAAAGTTTCTATTACGCGGATGTGGTTTATCTTAGATACTTCGCTGACTTGAAGCGAATTCATGAGTACAACTGAGGGCGCTTGTTTGGCCTAGATGCACTCTAAGTTAGCTAAAGGTTATCTTTGTAAGACCAAACAGATGATAATTAGTTGCACGCTGTTGACGGTAATATATTTGTATCCTTTATTGTTTTTGTGTCATTTTCATAACACTTGCACTACCCATTTTCAGGCATTACTTATAATTCATATGTACCATTTTCAGTGATGGATCCTCCAACACTTTCTACACATATATGGTTGGTCATATGTTGATGGCTACGCTGAGGATATGTCACATGTTTTTACGCTTGTCCCGCTCAAAAGGAATCAGTCGACCAATCTTTTCAGAATGTACCTGGATTGCATAACAACAGACAATATACAATTTCAGTCGTACAACCTTTAGCGTCAAATGCATCTCTTGGATGACATAGCCTTTTACTCTAGATGGTTGCCTTGTGGGTCACATTTGATGTATCTACATTTGCATGAGCAAGCCATGCATTAGTTTGCATATATGAAGTTGTTCCAAGAGACCCCTATGAATTTGCTCCTCATACTATGACAATTTCCTTAATCATATGGTACCGACTGAAGCACGCAATACCGTAGCTCCTAGCGACTAGAATTGTGCATACCGATATGTCTAGTGGTATTTCATAGTGTTTCATCTTTATATGACATCAGATGCTAACGGAGGGCCACCTAGTCCACCTCATCAGGGGATATTAAAGAAGAAGCAAGCTAGGGCATATCATATTGTTGATGTATTTCTTGCAAATCGTCGTATCATGGAGCTTGCGCGAAAGAGCATGACAAAGGAGACTTTCTAGAAGGCACTTATGGTAATACCGTTGTAGATGTCATTCTTAATGAGACACATATGACATTGCAATACAAGAGGTAGAGAAGAAACATGGAAAACTGATATGCACACTACTATTGCATTTGTATCGGGGATTATGGATAATATTATTATTTGTTACTTTGTTATTTTGTCTATATTATGGATTTAAGGTTGATTCATTTATATATGTCATTTTCATCTTATTACACCAGTATTTGCCTTAATTGATAAACAAAAATTATTATGACAATATAGTTAACTTATAATACATGGTCTATTACATAAGTGTATTTCTTAAAAAATGTCAAAATTTACGAAGTATAAGGTAAATAGAGAAGTGTATATCCGCATTTTGACACAGATACACATCATCGGACAAAACTATGTCAAAAATGAAGGTGTCTCCATTAGGAATGGTTTGGTGCATATAGGGTGAATACAAAGGTGTATCTTCAGACAAAATTATGTCAAAAATATGAATGTCAGGAATAGTTGGGGTGCATATAAAGAGAATACATAAATGCATCTCCGGACTAATTTTTCGCAAAAATTTAGGTGTGGCTCATTTATGCATGGATCTAGTATGTGAGTGGTTGCGTCTAAAAATAAATTTTCGAATTTGTAGGAACATTTTAGAATTTTCGATGCCACCATATTAGCGATCAAACGTTACTGTATTCATCTTCATCAATCAATCTGGTTCCAGTAGGGAGGAACATGATGCATTTAAGAATAAACTATTTAAAAGAATTTAATCTCACATGAATAAAATGTTAATAGATTTAGGTGGAGTTGAATCTGATTTATTATTTTTTTTGAAATTTTTCTATTCTAATAATATTTTCAAAACTAAAATTTACTTATTAATTTAAATTGTATAATTTATGTTTTATTTATTAATCAGTCATTCTATTTTAAGCAAAATTATAACCAAAGATATTGTTTGTATTTTTATAAGTAATGTGTAATTTACTTATATACGTGTAGAAAAAATATTTAGAGTATTTGTTGGTCTATTGAACTAACTATGTAGAAAAGTAGTCTATTTCGCAACACACTTTTTGAACAAATTCATAGATGAAAATATAATATACCATCATTTTTAGGTACTCTTTTATACATTTTTATTGGTTCTAATTTTGAGTGGATTTAGGAACCTTTTCTCTTTGGACATTAACTTAATATAGCTTTCAAGAAAATAGCTCGGACGATCTCTAAACTTAGTTTTAATTTGGTATTTTACCTTTTAAAATATTAACACTAGTAACTGTTTTGGAATTTTTTTCTATCCTGCCATAATTTTAGGGGTTAATTTCTAAAATGTCATAGTTTTCAATTAATATATCAAATTGTCATGTTTTTAAAAAAATCTCATTTTTGATTGAACACTTCCGCCCTTCTAATGGGCGGTAGAGTGTAATGAAAAAGTCAACCATATTTTTTTTTGTTTTATTTTTTAATTTTTTTAAATATTATTACTAATTTCTATATTAATATTAATAATATTAATAAATTAATAATTATTATTATTAAATTAGTAATAATAATTAATTTATTAATAATAATTATTAAATTAATAATAATAATAATTTATTAGAAATAATAGTTATAAAAAAAATAACAATAATAAAAAATAAAATATTACGTAAAAATAAATTAAAATAAAATAAATTATTTTAAAATAGTACTAATTAAAATAAAATAGTACACTGAAATATATAATAATATTTATAAAATAAAATACAATAAAAGAACTAAAATAAATAATTATTAATTTTTTAAATTAAATATGTACATTAAAATTCTTATTCACCCTTAATTAATTTCGATCCGGTCGACGTAAGCGTTGGTGGGCTTCACAGGCAGGAGGTCGCACATTTCTGATTGACCCGGAATGTCTTGTTTAATTCCGAATTGGAGTTTCACCCTATCTGAATGATGCATTTCAACATAAGTGAAAGACAATATGAATGTTGTAGAACTCCACATATCGCTTTCAATTGGATCTTCATCTTCAAGTTTAAGATAGGGTCTCCATAGAAACTATAATATAATTAAAAAGGGATAAGAGAAAAAAAATGGAAAATGCTAGTAAAAAAATAACGGATTAGAGACAATACATCATCTTCCTCAAAATGATCGAAGAACGTCCGATATCCAGGAGCACAATGATGCGGAGTTTTTTCGTAATTCATGTCATACGCTCATGTATTAAATAATATTAGTTAATGATATCAATTAATATAAACTATGTATTAAAAAGTATAAATTAATATTATACGTTAATTAATTATAATAATATATATTAATATTATTAATATATATTAATATATAATAATAATATTAATATATATTAATATTAATAATATTAATATATATTAATATTATTAATATATATTAATATTAATATTAATATTATTAATATATATTAATATTATTAATATAAATTAGTAATAATATTTAAAAAGAATTAAAAAATAAAACAAAACAAAAAAAAACATGTTATGTACAAGCCGTCCATTGAAAGGGCGGTTGACTTTTTCATTACACTCAGCCGCCTATTGGAATGACGGAAGTGTTCAACTATAAATGAGATTTTTTTGAAAACATGGCAATTTGGTATATTAATTAAAAAATATGACATTTTGAAAATTAATCCCTAAAACTATGGCAGGATAGAAAAAAATTCACTGTTTTACCATTTTTGACAGAATGGTTTGGTTTTCAGAGGTTGATTCGTTTCTAAGAAAAGAAAAACTTTAGTTGAAAATTAGAATTTTTTACTGGTACAACTTCACTGACTTGCCAAATTTTTTTAGGAAACATAGTATTTTTTGTATGAACCAATCACACAATCCACTAACGGAGACCCCATTTAAAAATTTTGTATGAACCGACCAAACACAAAATTATTATAGCACCTAACAAGATTCAAACTTGAGAGTTTGAAAGAAACACACTATCAAGATCCAAAACTTTACCACTAGTCTATCCGGCGTAGTGCAATCCACATATTAAAAATCAGTCTCAAACTCATAGGAAACTTTGGCAGGAGATACTTTTTTGTGTCCAATCTTAAAATTGTAGAGATTTCCATCAACAATATCTCAGGACAGGAGCTCTAAAACAAAGAAAAGGTAAGGAAGCATCCAACTAATCCAAATCAGTGGCCAGGCCACAAACCAGTACAAAGCTTTTATACTTGTTTATAGCAGAAAACGAATAAAGAACCCGTAAAATACAATAGTATGAAATAAGAATAATGTTAGAATGCTGCTACAATTTCCATTATTTTCTTCCTTGTGAACAAATTCTGAGGCATGAAATCGATAACTTTTTCAAAATAAACACTATATCTCAACGAGATTTCCTTCTTAGCTTTACACTTTCTTACAGAAGCAAACATTGACAGCTAGGTCGCACAAATCGAAGAAAGACCATAGTTTCTTAGTTTCATATTATCTACATATACACATAAGCATTTGAAGCACTCATTCAGTCACGATAAAATTGGATTGATGTTATTATATCTGGGATTTCTTTACTATTTAGTCACACCTGTTCATTTCCCTTTAGAATATTGAACTTGCAAAGAGGACAAGTTGCATTTATCTTTAACCATTTCACTATGCATGTGGAATGAAAATGGTGGTTACAAGGAAGCGCGTGAAGCTCTGCTTCATCCTCGTAAGGAGAGATGCATATACAGCATTCCTGAAAAAGGAAACAGGGATCATAAAAAATTATGCATTATTATTATTTTTACAAATCTTTAATATCCTAAAGTAGAAATCAGTTTTATTACTAATTTTCTTTTGTATAATCAGAATTTCAAACACGGAAGTACAAAAGGGTCAGAGTGAAAGAAATTAACATCGATAAAGCATACCGCATCCTCCGGTGAAAGTACTCGTTCATTTGCACCACTACTATTTTCAATGGGAACCATTGATCCACCCCTCGGACTGGATGTTTCCTCATTGCTTGCCACATGAAACTTATATTTTGGAAGTATACTGAGATCTGATTCAGATGCACCCTCCTACAGTCTCACAATACAGGCAATGAGCCTAAAAAAATTGGAAGGTCCGCAAGTATTTGAGATTTTTCTATCAGAATAAAGAAAAGCATACCAGTCCCGCAACGGCGTAAAGAATACCAATAATACAGGGTAAACAGCAGCAGAGGGCAATGCCAATCAAGCATGCCAAAGCAACACAAAAGACGGCAAAGAAGACATCAAATGCTAGAAAGACAACTGCCACCCTGTAAAAATTACAGGAAGAAAAAACATAAGAATAATTTCTTTTGTAATGCAAAAAATTCGTAAATTATCAGAAAAAACAAATGTAATCTAATAATATAATTATTCTTTAAAAATATCCCTTTTATGCTTTGTAATGAAATTTCTAAATCAAAGAAAGATCAATGACTTCATAAAAAAAGAAAACATCCCATTTGCTTTGTCCTCATTTAACACTTTAAAAGCAGGCTCGGACAACTGATTTGGCCGCTGATAAAAGAAAGAAAGAAAAAATGCTAAAGGTGGATGAAGTCTATCTCGTTAATCCAAATGTTAAACTTTGTCAGCTAACATCTGTCAATGTAATGCAACGAGCCAAATATGATGCCATGTGTACCACATCACCGCACTAACATCTGTCAATATGATGTAACAAACCAAATGTGATGCCACATCACCGCAGACTAAAACAACTGTGCTTGATTCTGATGGTATACTAAGTCATCCCATGTTATGGTTCCATTTGATCTCGATAACACAAAGCCCATTTTCTCCTCTCTTCATTTTTTTTTCTTTTTATGTGTATGTTTACAGCTGCACTTTCATGAAGTCATGTATCTTTCTATCATGCGAGATGATCTTTTTATCTGCAGCTAATTCTGAATAACTTAGCAACTCTACCCTGCTAATTGAACATTGATAACTGCTTTCACCAAATGATTATCAAATGCTATCACTAGTTACATCTGCCTAATCAGAAACTTTTGGACTCTTCTCTTTTTATTAAGTGACAGTTTTTTTCCTAGCTCCCGTTCAACTTTTTATACTGTATTAATTACTATTTCGAAATTATAAGATGTATCAAGAATGCTGATTTCACATTTTTGCACGTAGAACCGGCCTATACGTTTAAGGGCTGTGTTACAAGCCAAAGTCAACAAAAAAGCTCTAGTACTGATGCTAAGGAGAAACTAGGAACTAACAAAGTTGATTGTCTGAAAGGCAATAGAAAAGAGAATGCTACAAGGAATGTGAAAGTGAATCATCAGAAATACAGTGAAAGATGTGTTCATGCAGGAAGCATGTTAAAAAAAAGGTCGCAGAACTACATAACTTAATAACCGTATGTAGAAGTAGAAGTAGAAGGATGACATAGCTAGCAGATTTGTAGTCATTTGATTTGACAGTTTACTTTGTTAGTCAATTAATCAATGCCTGATATCATTGATTTGGTCATCTTTAAGTTACAATATCCATCTGTTAAATAAATTTTTTAATAAAGCTTTAAAAGATATGTAAATCCTCATCAAAGGCTTTGATATTTGGCACTAGCAGATCTAGCATTCAAGTATCAAGACTCACCCATTAATGTTTCTTGCCCGAGAGGGCTTTGATAATTAGCACTAGCAGATCTAGCATTCAAGTTACAATATCCTTTTGTTAAGGTTTCTTTATGAAGATTCACCCATTATAATGTTTCGAGCAACTTTGCTTGTGTCAAGATTTATAACCCTTTTTTTCTTCTGTCCATTCTTTTTTCTTGAGATGAAATTTAATGATCATTACAATGGACTTGTGCGCTCATATTATCATTATATGTATAACTTTAACTTCTTGCGATTGTAATATTGAGAATTGCATTGGGGTTAAAGGAAACAAATAGCCCAGTGGCACTTGACTCAGTGAAACCTTATACTGGTTTGGGCTACTAACTCTTGTGTGTAGTACTTACTATTTAGTGTTAGTGAGTCTAGTATGGTACCCCAACCTCCAATGTTAGTGATAAAATTTTGGTTGTTTCAAACAAAATACTCAATCCTTAAATTCTCTTCACAATACTATTTCACGACTTCTTACCAATATGGTACAACGCAAGACCTCCTACGCAGAAACAAACCAAAAATGGGGAAGGAAAAGTTGGGGGTTTAGGGTTCTAGGGACCAAATTGAACAATATCAAGGGGTACTTAGTATACTTTCATTTGATTAAACACTATCACTATAATCATTGATGATGTAGCCCCCACGTTGAAGCTAGATTGTTGATAGCACGCTATAGCATAGCGGAATCGGACCTCACCGCACGACGCTTTTTGGCTGCCAAGCACTATCCGCGATAGCGGGAATAGCGTCTGCTATTTGTGGCGTCATGGCGGCACAATAGCGGTTTTGTAGCAGTTTGCAGATCGCTATTGTGAAGATTAGGGTAAATTTATAAATTTGAATTTTTTAAGGTCAATTTGGTATGCTGACCCTTTTATTTGACCTAATATAAAAGCATAAGTATTTTGCTTTATGTCATTTCACGTGTTTTTTGCCGTTTACCTCTTCACTCGCGTGTTTGCATTTCAAAAAGTCATCTTCGTTGCAAAACTTCCTTGCACAACGTCTTTGACGTTCTTCTTTGCAAGTCAGCAAGCCATCCATTGTTCTTCAAAAATCATCACCGTACTTCACATATTCATTTATTTCTTCACCTTTCTCATCCATTCACAGCTGATTTCTCCTCTGTTTTGCTCTGGGCCTTGTCCTCTGCTTTGCTTTGTTGCTCTGTTTATCTTTTATTTGCAACCATGGCATCATCTTTTCATCTTCTGCCAGTGAAACACAAACTTCCAACAACAAGAGTTACTAGACATCCCTCTAGACTTGCTTCATTAGTGTCTAATGGAGATGAGGAGTTGGAGGTGGAAGAAGAAGGGTTTGAATCAAGTGATGAGCAAGATGATATTAATGTGGTTGAACTTAGAAGTGAAGATGAGGCAGACGTGGATGTGATTTAGTCATTTTGTTTATGTTTGTTAACGTTTAGAATTCGGTTTAGTATTTTGAGTACATTTTTAATTTGATTTTGATGGAAACTTATATTGATGGTGTGGTTGGAATTTATGTAAGTTGTTGTAACTTCTGTTTTAAGGCATTATGCATGATTTTGGAACTTATTTTAAGTATTTATTTATTCATGTTAAGTGTTGACCTTGGTTTTTAAAGCTCACAATAGCGGTCATCCCGCTATCTGCTATGCCGCTATAGCATTTTGTGGGTACGGCACGTCCTATCGGAGATTAACAACCTAGCAAGATATTGGGCGCATAACGTGACAAATCACATAACAGACTATAGAATATGGAGACTAACTTTTGGATTAACATGGATGGAATTTTATTTTTTATTTTCCATGCACTCGTGGACCAGACTGATGATATTTGTCACTGTGTAAAGGACCAAAATCGATGGTTTACTGAAAAAAAGGAAGAACCTTTCAAGAAACAGCACCAATACAATAAGCATGGTGATGAGAGGTTATCTATGGCGCAAATAAAATAAAATAAAACTAAAGGCTAGAGTTTTGTTATGACACGACTAGCCAATTCTATTGTGCCAACCAAAATAAAGTAACTATTCGGAAATAAACAAACACCATTCTCAGAATTCAATCTAAAAGAAGGCTTGCTTACCAGTACAACCGTGGAGCCTCTTGCATTAGAATATCACCACCATAGACAACCCAGTAAAATCCCACCATCCACCAAATCAATGAAAGCATGGTATTCAACGATGCACAGCGTTTTGCAAATCTGAATCATAGGTAATCAAAATCAGTATCTATAAGTCTTAATTACCTAGAACAGTCCAAGGTAAAAAGTATATGATTATAAACAAAATTACACACAACTCATATTGTATTAACAAACATGCTTTAGCAGCCAAGGCACGCGCACACATGCACAGTAACAAGCATTTAATTCCTTTTTCTAAAGTTAATAGACACTCCACCAATTTTTCCTCAAAGTACACAAAATGAAGTGAAGTGATTGTGCCAAAACATCAGTGAAGGATTCCTTTCACTACCATCTTAATGAAGCTAATAACATATGGCTTTCAAGAAATAAAAGATCACTTTCCATTTATCATAAACATTCGCCAGAAAAAAGATAATAATAAGTACAATACCATAATGTTTTCATCCACAGATTAACAGGTCAACGTACCGCAACCGAAAGTCATATTATCTATAAGCTTATAACTGCTGGAGTAGGAAAATCCAACAGTGCTTTTTTTGGTAGGAACAAACCAAAAGTACAAGGCAACAAACCAAAAGAAGTTATTGGTAAGTACTTCCCCCATTAACCTGGAGTGCTCCTCATACTCAAGTTTCATAGATACTTTCTTAGGAAGCAAAAACTAATATATTATCGATTCCAATGAAACACGGACACCCCAAACACGACCCCGACATTGACACGACAACATCGATAATAATTTGAAATAAATAAATAAATTTGACGAAATCACAAGTGGTAGTGTAGGTGTCTTACACAAACAGTGACACAAACATGCCTTTTATCGGAGATGTCGGTACTACAACAGATTGATTATGTCAAAGTCTCCATCACATAACCTACCTAGAAGATTATGTATAAATTAAATAAAAATCCAAGATAAAACTATCATTAGATGCATAATCTCACCAATGCAAAGCAATACGCACACACTAATCTCTTCAGTATTCAATCAAAAAACCTAAAATTCCTCCAAAAAATACTAACAAATTGATTAACAAAATTGAACATAAACAGAAATGGAATTGAGAAATTAAACATACCCGGGGCGAGAAGAATTCCGAAATTCAACATCATCATCATCCTCGCTATCGTTAACATCTTCATCAAGAGATTCCTCATCCCTTCGTCCTCCAACCCCATTCCTCCTCCTGTACTCCAACCACACCAACGCCACGTGGACCAGACACTGCACAGCGTACCCGCAGATCCACAACCGAATCGGCGTGTTAGGATTCTCCTCAACAGAGCAAGCTAACATAACCGCTGCGACCACCACGAAGGCCGTGTTCCACGTCACATCAAGCACTACCACAGGCTTCGAGTAGCCCCAGTCGGCGCGCCGCTCTTCAAGCTCGCGCGCCGCGGTTTCACGAACCATAACGGAAGGTCCGCGGCGTCCGAGAAGGAGCGCGAGGACGGGCGTGCGGCCCACGCGGCGTGGGCGAAGGAGTGGCGCGTGGGACTGAGCGTAGTTTGATGATGACATGGCTGGGTAGAAATCGTAAGAGATGGTGCTAGAGCATTATTTGAAAGTTGAATAAGAGGAGAAAAATGGTAATAGCAACAACAATAAATTATTACTATTATAATTAAGGAAGAGAAAAACGATTATTCATCGTTCTTTACTTCTTCTTCTTGTTGTTGTTACTGTTTCATGTTTAAAGATAGAAATGGAAACACAAAACACACACAACGCAATAGCGAAACAGTAAATAACGCGGTGTCGATATTGACGGTTATGCCCTCGCAAGTTCATTAAACCTTTGTTTGGTTGGAGAGAAGTAAGAAAGAGAAAGTTAAAAAAATAAGTCAGTTATTTCTTCTAATTGGTTTTTAGAGAAGTGACAAAAAAAGAGCAATGATAGCTATATGTAAAATACACATATGTCCTTCATTTAATTATGTTTTTTTGAGGGTGTGATCGGTTGTGAAATAAAAATTAGAAGAAGATATGAGAAAAAGTGTGAGAAGTGAGAAAAAAAACTAAGAAATATAATAGAATTGATATATTGTTTGGTATAAAATATGTATGAGAGGGTCAGAAACATCATAAGTTTTAAGTAAGGCTAGAATTAGAATCACTTTCTCAACAAAAACATAAAAATATTTCTTATTCTTTAGTATATATCACAAGTTTTAATGAATTCAATAACATCCTTGAATAAAGAGGACTAGAAATTCAAGGTGGTGAGAAACACAAAAAATATGGGTTTGAATTGTGTTTATAAAAATCAAAGTTTTTTCAAAATCAACTCAACAAGTAATAAAACCACAATAAAAATAATAAATTATTTTTATACTAGTTCGTTGTAACGAAATTACCTTCAGTCCATCCTATCAAGGTGATTTTGCTTTCTCAATAAGGAAGTAATCCACTATAATCGAAACTGATTACAGACACCACAGATACATATTGTCTTTGTCTTCTTGAATATATCTAACTAAATCCTAGTCACTCAAGGAAAACCACTCAAGCAAGATTGAGATTTTATAAGTTATGTTAAAAAAGAACGCTTCTAATAAAGCAGATTAACACAAGTTAATACAATAAAAACCGCACACAAATAACGAGCAAAAAACTCTTTGTGTGTTTACAAAGAATACACACAGATAAAAGATTCGTTGGAGGGTAGAATTAGAATAGCATAATATAACTGTCTCTTTCATAATGGTTTGCAAATGGGAAATAAAATGGTACAATTATATTGTTCTTAGCCCATAAAATCAGGGTAGTGGAGGCGAAGATGATCTTGTAATGTATATTATTTTCCTAACGTAAAATATTTTGATCTTATCTTTTAATATTCAAAGGCTTTTGATAAAATGATGTTGAAGCATGCTTAGAAGGATTGAGAGACTGGTTGAGAGAATCTTTCGAACCTTGGTCTTCAGAGTCCTGACACAGCTCCTCAGAACCTGATCTTCAGAGTCTTCAGATCTTGTTCTTCAGAATCTTCAGAACTTGAGCGCATAATCTTAAAGTTAGACAACCTTTCAGAGGCTCTTCAATCAGAGTCATAGTCAGAAGCTTTAACACAGACGTTCTTCAAAACCGTTGCCTAAAAGCTTTCTAATACTTGACATCATCTTGTAAAGCACGTGTATCTCTTCAGAGTCAGGGTGTGTTGATTGCAGAGTCTGATGATGTCACACGTCAAAGCTTCAGAGTCAGAACCTGTTAAGTAAAACCTACACACTAGACCAAAACCATTAGTGCACAAAATTGTTCTCTAAGAAACAATGTATTATTATCTTCAAAACTAAAGGCTAGATGCAGAACCAAATCTTGTTCTAAAAATTTCCCCATTTTTCATGATGACAAAATCATGTATTTTGATGAACAATTTTTATTATGTTTAATCACAAAAAAACATTAGAGTGAGGTTTGTAAACTCCTCTTGAATTTTATACTGCTAAAAATTATTTTTCATTTTAGAATGTCAGAGTTAGGTTTGTAAGCACCCCTTGAATTTAAGACTTAAAATAATTCTAACACATAAATTTTAAAAAAAACTGCATGAAATAAGTAACTTTCCATAAGTCAGAAGTCTGGTTGTTACTACTTTCTCTTCAGACAAAAGTCTGGTTACTCTCTTCCCATAAGGCAGAACCCTGGTTAGAATGGTTGAGGAATTATCCAAAGTGCAACAGCTTGGATACATAATTATTTCCTTCATAGTTTATTTCTTGAGTGTCAGAGGGTCTAGTTTCCATGGTCTGGTTTTGGATGCCAGATTGTATAACTTGATTCTGGTGGAAATCAGAACTTGCTCAGAGTGTAGGTTTCAGAAACATTTATAGTTCAGAGCTTGTAACACCAGGTTTCTTATGTGTCTGGTTCAACTTCGATTAAAATAACACTTGGTTCCTAAACATAAGTCTTGTCCTTAAGTTAAGTTAGTGCCTTAGAACTTGAAACACTTAGGTAAAAAGATGAACTTTCACAAAGTTCTCAGAAAATTACCAAGTTATAAAACTGTTAGAAACATGTTTGGATTTTCATAATGGAAATTAGATATACTAAAATCAATCACTCTTTCTCCCCCTTTATTATCATTCAAAAAGAAATAAAACGACAAAGTAAATAAACCAAACAAACTTTCATTTCATTAATCTGATAGGCAGGTACATAAATGAAACAAAAAGAAAGATAAGGAAAAGACAACACAGAGTTTTAAAAACTAAGGTTTAAGAGGGTTTAGGTAGTCTTAATAAGATCTCTGCAAGTAACCCTTTTATTTTATGTCATTTCCTTCACTTCAGAATTCTCTACATCCAGATACTCCAACTTCTTCAGAATGAACTCCTCAGAATCAAATGTCTTTTTGACGCCAGAGTCACTAGCAAATTCAAAAGTTGTCTTAAAAGCAACCATTGTAGTCTGAACAAGGGACAGAGGAGGAATCACTTCTGAAGCATAGAGCATAAGAGTAGTATAAACCTTTTGAAGTAGAGGTTCAACAATACTAGAGAGTCTGGCATGAAAGTTCCTATTAGCTTCCTTTAGCCATGCAAATTCTATCTCTTTAGAAGCAACCTCTATCCATCTTCTTAAGTCATTGATCAGATCACACACTTCATAGAGGTTTGCATTTCCTTTGAAAGCCTCAGTGAGAGCATTGATTATGCCTTCAACATCCTTTTCGAACTACGCAAATGATTCATTCATGGAGTAGCATGAATATCGGTTTGAGAAAGTGTTTAGACAGAAAAGGGTTTAGAGGTTCTATTTGGGTAGACAATGAGCTCAACATCTGATTCAAGATCATAATCAATAGGTGATTCACTAATCTGGATTCCAGAGTGTATGGTGTTTATTGGTTGAGGGGTCAGAAGAAGTTCGGCAATGGATGATGGAATAAAAATTGGAAGTTGAAGTTCAAAAGTAAAGGTAATATTAGGAAAAGTGTCTTTTGGATTTGTGATTTAAGGAGCAATGGCTTCCAGAATAAAGGGGATGGAATGAGAACTGTAGATGAAGGGGTGGGTGAACTATTTGCAGCAGTAAGTTGAGGAGTATCAGAAGGAACAACAGTTCTAGTAGAGACAAAAACAACAGCAGTATTGGATGCTTTGGAAGAAGTCTTTGGAGTCTTTTTAACAACCTTATCTCTTTTTGGGCAAACTTCTTTATCTCCTTTAGAATATTTTCGAGCCAACTTTATTTTCTTCTTCTGCTTTTGAGTGAACTTCCTTATCTCTTTAGAAGGCTCAAAAGCTGAAGGAGCAACACTTACAGAGTTGCTATTAGAATAAATTCCCTCATAATCCACATATTGTGGATTAGAGAAAATAGGAAAGTCATCTAAAGGAATCCTTCTGCTGCGGATGTCCTCATTGGGGATCTCAACAACTGGGCTTATTGTCGCTACTGCGAAAATCGGCGCCGGCTATGACAGAAGAGTCGCCACCATGCGTTATTTATCCCACAAGAGGGAAAGGAAACACTCAGAGTAAACCTAACGCAAAACGGGAAAGGAATGGTCGTCGCAACCAAATTCCTGGATTCGGGAGTCGATTACGCAAGGGGAAGGTATTAACACCCCTCACGTTCGCCGTACTCGACGGGATCCACGCTTGTTTTCTAGTACGGATTGTCATTCTACCTACTCTACAGGTCAAGGGTTAAAAAGAAAAGAAAATGAAAATGACTCGCCAAAGTATCGCACTTTATGCCTACGTATTCCCATCTGAAACGAGAAATCAGAGTCAACGTAGTTCGCCTACCTACGGGAAAAGAGGGGAAGGTTGCTCGCTAGAATACGGCATCCTATGCCTACGTACTTTCATACAACATGAAAGATTAGAGCAAACGTAGTTCGGGCTACAGAAGACACAAGTTTGTCTGACTGTTTTTATTACCTTCAAAAAGGGTTTTTCTTGATTAAGAGTCCAAGCGGACAAGAATGACTCTTTGATGTTTGTTTTGAATCTTTTACGAAAGAAATGTTTTTTAGTTTGTTTGCAATCTCTGACGCACTAGAGACTATGATTTGAGAGTGACTACGTCGCGTGTCACCCAAAGGGTGCCACGCTAAGCAACCAGACTACTGGAAAGAAGCTCTCCAGCAACCCTTTCTCAAATAGCTTAAGGCTCGTAACGTACGACATCGATTAACCTTATTACTGTGTTTTTGAGTTGTTTGGAGATAAGAAGAGAAAGAAGCTCTAAAAAGCCTAGGGTTGAAAAGGGAATAAAAACTAACCTAATGTTGTCATGCATGGATAAGAATCCTAATGTCTGTCATAATTCCCTCCTGCACAGAGGAAATCAGAGATCCTAGGGGATAAACGGAAAAGAAAGCAAGCAAATACAGTAAAATGCATGCAATGCAGCAATACAAGCGAGGCAAGGGAGTCCTGCTCAACCTCGAACCTGGGAAAACAACAGGCAAAGTGAATCAACATTCACTTTAAGCCTAGGGGGCAAGCTACACAAGCCAACAAACAATACAGAAAACAAAAACCCCAAAGCAGAGGAGGCAG